TGGTCACAATGGCAGGTCCCACACCAGTATAAATCTTCAGTCAATTATGGTATATTGAGTGAGACATTTTTCTTCACTTATGGCATGTGTGCATGTTCATGAAAAAGCAATATTTGCAATTCTAAGACAGAATATCAACTGACTTAATTCAATCAGTAATAGCACATGGAATTTATAGCATCATTGATAATTATTACATGCATGGGTAGTCAAGTTTAAAAAATTTAAACGGTATTTTTGTTATAAAGGTGATCAATAGAAGAGGTTCTATGTATGGAATATTGTACTGAAACTTTTGTTTTTTTTTCAAGCTTCTTCCCAGAAAGCTCCCACTGAAAAACCAGCAACAAATAAAAGGAAGAATGGTAAAGAGGAAATAGTGGAAGATGACTTACCACATCTAATAATTCCCTGGCTATTTTAAAAATGCTTAAAATTGTATTACTTAATTTTATACAGCCACAAGTCGGAGTAAAGTTTCCTATTGGATTTTTTTTTTAACCATTAATTTGAAATACTTGCCCGCAAGTTCTCTATAAATCAGATCATAGATATTAGAAAAGAGCTTTAAAGCCAGGATTTGACCCAGAAAAAGTACATAGGTAGCATTTGCCCAGTAGGTTTTACAATTATTGTAAACTTTTTAGCTTCAGATCAATGCCAGAAAATCCCCCTTAAAAAGCCAAAAATGGATAAAGCTGGTAATAGTGTTGGGAAAGAGAATGGAATTAGTGGTGAGTATTTATAATTGACAATTTTCTTGCTTTTTCGTGATGGTTAATATGCACCTAGAAGAGTTAGAATCCTTGTCTATGAATTTTTTTTGTATATTCATTGTCACCAGTTTGTTCAGAAAGCAATTAAATGACAGCATATAGTCAGTTCATCGAAGCACCATTAGGGACTGGGGAAATTGGTTCGTATATTGAGGGTTCATTATATCAAGGTTCTGTGACATAAATTTTACTGTAACTTTAGCTGGGCTGAAACTGAAGCATAGTTTGTCGTACTGAGGACTTGGTTATGTAGAGGTTCATTAAATCAAGGTTCTACTGTATAAGTAATATGTTCTCTTTTAATGACACTCTGTTAAAGGTCTATAAGGCTTCAAAGGGGTCATTTTTTGGAAACTGTTACACTCACATTAGAGCTAGAGCCTCTTAATTTTCAAGTATTACCACAACTAATACTAACTATTCAATTTTAAACCTTTTCTATTGCAGTTACATGATGAAAAACATTCTCATAGTATAACTAAGGGGTTTTACATCTTATTATTAGAGAACTTAAGCCAAAAGGTTTTTGAAATGCAAATGGCAACCAGATGAAGAATAAAACTAATTCTTATGCACTTTAATGCTAATTTTTGACCGTAAGGTATTGAGCAACAGGAATTAAAGAACTGCCATCCATGTTTAAAAAACTTTGGTGCTGCAGTGTCCTATTGTGACTTGTTCCACCTACTCTGTTCTCACCCTTCTGAATTTAAATACAGGTGCATCCCTGCATTGATTTATATGCCAATTTGGGACACAATTTCCAGATGTTCTCACAAGCAAATCACACTCCTGTTTTGAATTAAACATTTTTTAATAAAAAGGTGCAGCCCGTACACTTGTGTGGACGGTTAAAAAAAAATTCTGTAGTTTAAGTTTGTCAGAAATTGTTAGTATTGAACTATTCTTAACCTTTTCTATTCAAGGTGTAAGTACAACCAATACAAACAAGCAAAAGCCTGGAGCTAGCAATAAAACAAAAAGAGAAGAAAGGCTTAGGTTACTCAAGTCTACCACACTGAAGTTATTATGATCATATGCATAAAAAGCCATTTTTCAGAAATTTGAAACTGTGATTTTTTTTTTCATAAAGGTGATAGAAGCCCTGGGTGCAGTGTTTGGAATGTTGTACTGAAGCTAATTTAATTCTTTTCTGTTTTTTTTTTTTTTTCCTTTAAGCTTCATCCAAGGAAGTTCCCACTGGAAAAGTGGGTACAAATAAAAGAAAGAATGGTAAAGAAGATAAAGTGGAAGATGACTCATTACATTAACTGATGACACCCTATTTTAAAAATTATTCTTAAACTTGTATCAATGTTATACAGCCACAATAGTAAAGCCATGCATGTAAAGGAATTTTTCTGTATATTTATTCATTTAAAATATACTTATCTGCAAGTTCTCTATAAATTGAATCCTAGTCATAAAACAAGATGCTACAGTAAGCTTTAAAGCCAGGTTTAGACACAGAAAAAATACTTGCCAACTGCGATAATTCACTATTAAGGTAACAACTGTTCACTGTTCAAAATGGAGGTGGCCAGTGGTGGATATATTCAGCCAGCCACAAAGCAGCAATGTAAACAAGAGAGGATCTTTTTTGTGTGTATATATTATGAAGATATTAACATGAGGCTCTTAGAATTTTACCATCAGAAGTGGGGTAGTTGATGGCATTTCATTGTCCAAGAGGTTTTGAATCATTGTAAAATTTCCATATATTCAGATCAATGCCAGAAAATGCCCCCAAAACAGCCAAGAGTTGATGAAGTCAGCACAAGTATTGGGAAAGAGGATGAATTGAGTGGTGAGTGATTACTGATTATTTTGTTACCTTTTTTGTGTCGGTTGATATGCACCTAGAAGAGTAAATCCGTGTATTTGAATTTGTTCTGCATATACATTTCCCCCATTTTTTTTAGAAAGCAAATGACAGCATATAGTAAGTTGAAATATCTATAGCTAACATGTTACTTCTTAAATAACATTCATTATTATATGGCTGTGTCTCTCAAGGACTGGTAACTACCGAATTCACAAATTTGATTGACTGAAATCAATATTGAAAGCGGTCTAGATTTTCCCATTTAGACCAGCATCTAGACCGGTCTAGAAAAAAAAAGTACAAAGAATATAAAACATTGGCATATAAGACACAGCCATTACAAGAAACATCTTATTAACTGAGCTAGGTCGGTCTGTATGGGAGAATCTTGACCTCCGTCGCTGATACAGACCGAACTGTGTTCGGTCTGTACTGGCGACCTCGGTCAAGATTCTCCCATACAGACCTCCCACTCGGTTAATAAGAACTATCAAGTTACAGCTCTAATTAAGGCTTCAAAAAGGGTCATGTTTTTGGAAACTATTACTCACATTGGAAAGCTTTTTAATTTATAAGTATTACCATAACCATCACTAACATTTTCATTTTACACCTTTTCTATTGCAGTTACATGTTGAGAAATATTCTTGTAGTATTACAGATTAGGGTTTCATGTCTCCTTATTAGAGAACTTAAGCAGAGAGGTTTTTGAGATGTAAAACCCAACAAAAGAAGAATAAAACTTTAATTGGTGTACGCTTTAATGCAAATGTTTCAAATGTAAGGTGTTTGTTTCCGCATTTTAAAGTGAACTGTAATGACCAAAAACAGCTGTATTGAGCAAGAGGAATAAAAGAACTGCCATCCATGTTTAAAAAACTTTGGTGCTTAAGTGTCCTGTTGTGACTTGTCCACTTACTTTGTTCTTACCCTTCTGAATTTAGATACAGGTGCATCCATACATTGATTTATAGTATGCCAACTTGGGGCACAATTTCAAGATGTTCCCACACATAAGTTACACCCCTATTTCGACTTAAACATTAATTTTTTGATGAATAGGTGCAGCTCATACACTAATGTGGATCCTTACAAAAAATGCAGTTGTTTAAGTTTGTCAGAGATTTTTGGTATTGAATTATTGTGAACCTGCTCTATTCAAGGTTCCAGTACAACCAACACAAACAAGCAAAAGCCTGGAGCTGCCAGTAAAACAAATAATAAAGGGAAGAAAGGTAAAAGTTACTGTTTTAAATGTATTATCCAAACTGTTTGACCGTCTAGGTTTTATGAAATTATGAAAGTTAGATAGTACATTAAACTTCAATTAATTATGGTAAAAATCCCTATCTATAAGATATTTTCTTTTATACCTGGCATGTGTGTTTATGAAGAAGCAACATTTGCACTTCACAGAGAGAACACCAACTGACTCAATTCAGTGATAGCACACTGATTTTATTATCACATGCATGGAAAGTCATTTCAATCTTTAAAAATTGAACATGAAATTTTTTTGTAAGTAAACATAACCAAAGTAAAGTGCACGCTCGGATTGGTTAATTCAGCGCCTACCATCTGCCCATGGGTGTATGCTGCTTATGTGAGCAAATGCAAAGACTAGTTCTCTGTGCGTGCTTGTTTTTTCTGGTCATGTAACATTTGTTAAATAAAAGAAAACTCTTTTTCCACAAATTGTATCAATGTTATGTTATAAAACAAATGGTAAATGCCACAGTGTACACTTCTGAGATATGGATGCACTTGGGAGGTTTGCTCAAGCACTCAAGAAGCTTATTGAGTCACCCTCGGCTATTGCCTTGTTTGACTCTTAGGCTTCTTTCATGCTTAGCAATCTCCCACGTGCATCCATAACTCAACAGTGTACACTGTGGTGTTTACCATTTGTTAACTAAAGGTGACAGAAGGGGTCCAATATATGGAATGTTGTACAGAAGCTTTTTGCTTTTTGGTTTTTTTCTTTTAAGCTTCATCCAAGAAATTTCCCATGGAAAAAGCAGGTACAAATAAAAGAAAGAATGGTAAAGAGGATAAAGTGAAAGATGATTCTCTTAACAAATGATAACAGTCTATATTTTAAAACTATAAAAAATTGGATTAATGTTATACAGCCACAAGTCAGAGTAAAGCTTTGTATAGGAATTTTTTGTATAATTATTCATTTGAAATACTTACCTGCAAGTTCACTATGAATCAAATCACAGTTGTAAGACAAGATGCTACAGCAATAAGCTTAAAAGCCAGGTTTTGATGTAGAAAAAGTACTTGCTAACTATATTCATTCATTATAAAGTTAACAGCTATTCACTGAAATGGAGGTGGCTATAGTGGTGGATATTTACCCAGCCACAATGTAATGTGGCTGGATAAATTTACCCAGCCGCAATGTAAACAAGAGAGGATCTTTGTGTGTGTGTGTGTGTGTGTGTGTGTGTATGTTATTAAGATATTAACATGAGGCCCTTAGAATTTTACCATCAGGAGTGGTGTAGTTGATGGCATTTCATTGTCCAATAGGTTTTGAATCATTGTAAAATTTCCATGTTCAGATCAATGCCAGAAAATGCCCCCAAAACAGCCAAGAGTTGATGAAGTCAGCACAAGTATTGGGAAAGAGGATGAACTGAGTGGTGAGTGATTACTGATAATTTTCTTGCTTTTTTGTGGTGGTTAATATGTATCTAGCAGAGTAAATCCTTGTGTATGAATTTTTTTTGTATATACTCATTGCCACCTGTTTCTTTGGAATGCAAATGACAGCATACAGTAAATTGAAATATCTATAGCTAATATGTTACCTGTTAATAACATTCTGTTAAAGCTTTAAAGCTTCAAAAGTGGTCACATTTTTGGAAACTATTACTCACATTGGAGAGCTTATGCCAATTCAGGGCACAATTTCCAGTTTTTCTCACACATAAGTTGCACCCCTGTTTTGACTTTAACATTTTTAATAAAAAGGTGCAGCTCATATGCTAATGTGGATGGTTAAAAAAATACTGTAGTCATTTAGATTTGTCAGAAATTGTTAGTATTGAATTATTGTGAACCTTCTCTATTCAAGGTGTAAGTACAACCAACACAAACAAGCCAAAGCCTGGAGCTGCCAGAAAAACAAATAATAAAGAGGAGAAAGTTAAAGGTTACAGGTTTAAATGTATTATCTAGACTATTTGACTGTCTGTTTTAAAAGTTATGATAGAGCTGTTAGGAAGTATTACACTTCAATGGTAAAAATCCATATCTAAGATGTTTTTTTTTTATACATGGCATGTGTGTTTATGATGAGGTAATATTTGCAGCTCTAAGACAGAACACCAACTGACTCAGTTCAGTAATAGCACACTGAAGTTACCACCACATGCATGGAAAGTCATTTTTTAAAAAATTGAAACTGCAATTTTTATATAGAATAGGGTGATAGACGTGGTCCCATGTATGAAATGTTGTATCAAAGCTTTTTTGTTCTTTTTCCTTTTTTTTCTTTTAAGCTCCATCCAAGAAAGTTCCCATCGAAAAAGCAGGTACAAACAAAAGAAAGAATGGTTAGGAGAATAAAGTGAAAGATGACTCACTACAACTGATAACAGTCTATTTTAAAAACTATACTTAAACTTGTATCAATGTTATACAGCCACAAGTCAGAGTAAAGATTTTTATACAATTTTTTGTATGATTATTCGTTTGAAATAATTATCCACAAGTTCTCTATAAATCAAATCATATTTATTAAACAAGATGCCACAGTAAGCTTTAAAGCCAGGTTTTGACACAGAAAAAGTACTTGCCAACTGCATTCATTCATTATAAAGTTAACAGCTATTCACTGAAATGGAGGTGGCTGGTATATGGTGGATATTTTTCCAGCCACAATGCAGCAATGTAAACAAGAGAGGATCTTTTGTGTGTGTCTGTATTATGAAGATATTAAGATGAGGCTCTTAGAATTCTCCCATCAGAAGTGGAGTACTTTTGATACCATTTGTATGGAAGGTTTTGAATCATTGTAAAATTTCCATGTTCAGATCAATGCCAGAAAATGCCCCCAAAACAGCCAGGAGTTGATGAAGTCAGTGCAAGTATTGGAAAAGAGGATGAATCGAGTGGTAAGTGATAACTTTTTTCAGAAAGCAAATTACAGCATATAGCAAGTTGAAATATCTATAGCTAATATGTTACCTTTTGATAACATTCTGTTAAAGCTCTAATTAAGGCTTCAAAAGGGGTCGCGTTTTTATAAACTATTACCCACATTGGAAAGCTTTTCAATTTTTAAGCAGTACCATAACTTTTACAAACAATTTGATTTTAAACCTTTTCTATTGCAGTTACATGTTGAAAAACATTCTTGTAGTATGACAAAGGGGTTTCATGTCTCCTTATTAGAGAACCTTAAAGCAGAGGTTTTTGAGATGTAAAAACCAACCAAAAGAAGAATAAAACTAAAATTCTTGTGTGCTGTAATGCTAATGATTTGAATGTAAGGTGTTGGTTTCAGCATTTTAAAATGAACTGTCCTGACCAAAAACAGCTGTATTGAGCGAAAGGAATTAAAGAACTACCATCCATGTTTAAAAAACTGGTGCTTAAGCATCCCATTGTGACTTGCTCCATTTAATCTGTTCTCACCCTGCTGAATTTAAGTACAGGTGCATCCATACATTGATTTATATCCCAATTTGGGGCGCAATTTTCAGATGTTCTCACACATAAGTTGCACCCCTGTTTTGACTTAAATAGTTTTGATAAAAAGGTGCAGCTCATACGTTAATGTGAATGGTTAAAAAAATAGTAGTTTAAGTTTGTCAGACATTTTTAGTATTGTGAACCCTCTCTGGTTTCAAGGTTCCAGTACAACCAACACAAACAAGCAAAAGCTTGGAGCTGCAATAAAAAAAAATAATAAAGAGAAGAAAGATAAAAGTTACAGTTTTAAATGTACTATCCAGGCTGTTTGACTGTCAAGGTTTTGTAAAATTATGAAAGTTAGATGGTATTAAACTTCAATCAATTATGGTAAATATCCTTATCTATAAGATATTTTTTTTATACATAGCATGTGCGTTTATGAAGAAGCAATATTTGCAGCTCTAAGACAGAACACCAACTGACTCAATTCAGTAATACCACACTGAAGTTACTGTCACATGCATGGAGAGTAATTTTTCAAAAAACTGTAACTGCAATTTTGTTATAAACTAAGGTGATAGAAGGGGTCCAATGTATGGAATGTTGTACTAAAGCTTTTTCCTTTTTCTTTTTTTTTCTTTTAAGCTTCATCCAAGAAAATTCCCACCAAAAAAGCAGGTACAAAATAACAAAAGAAAGAATGGTTAAGAGGATAAAAGTGAGAGATGATTCTCTACAACTGATAACAGTCTGTTTTAGAAATACTAAAAATTGTATTAATTTTATATGGCCACAAGTCAGAGTAAAGCTTTGTGTAGGATTTTTTTCATTCGAAATACTTACCTGTAAGTTCTCTATGAATCAAATCATAGTTACAAGACAAGATGCTACAGTAAGCTTCAAAGCCAGGCTTAATTTAAACACAGGAAAAGCACTTGCCAACTGCATTCATTCATTATTAAGATAACAACTATATTCACTGAAATGGAGGTGGCTATATAGTGGTGGATATTTACCCAGCCACAAAGCAGCAATGTAAACAAGAGACGATTTTTTGTGTGTGTGTGTGTATATTATGAAGATGTTAAGATGAGGCTTTTAGAATTTTCCCATCAGAAGTGGGGTAGTAGATAGTATTTGTCGAGAAGGTTTTGAATCATTGTAAAATTTCCATGTTCAGATCAATGCCAAAAAATGCCCCCAAAACAGCCAAGAGTTGATGAAGTCAGCACAAGTATTGGGAAAGAGGATGAATTGAGTGGTGAGTGATTACTGATAATTTTCATGCTTTCTTGTGGTGGTTGATATGTATCTAGCAGAGTAAATCCTTGTGTATGAATTTGTTTTGTATATATTAATTGCCACCCCTTTCTTTGGAATGCAAATGACAGCATACAGGAAATTGAAATATCTATAGCTAATGTGTTACCTTTTAATAACATTCTGTTAAAGCTCATAAGCTTCAAAAGTGGTCACTTTTTGGAAACTGTTACTTGCATTGGAGAGGTTTTTAATTTTTAAACATTACCAAAAATTCGATTTTAAACCTTCTCTATTGCAGTTACTATTGCAGTGTTGATAAACATTCTTGTAGCATATAACTGAGGTGTTTGATCATTATTAGAGAACTTGAGCTGAGAGGTTTTTGAGATGCAAAAGGCAACCAAAAGAAGAATAAAACTAATTCTTTTGTACGTCAACACTAATGTTTCAACTGTAAGGTCTTTTTTCCAGCATTCTAAGTGAAACTGTACTGACCAAAAATAGCTGTATTGAGCAACAGAATTAAAGAGCTGCCATTCTTGCCTAAAACATTTTGGTGCCTATAAGCATCCTTTTGTGACTCGTTGCACTTACTCTGTTCTCACCCTTCTGAATTTAAATACAGGTGCATCCGTTCATTGATTTACATGTCAATTTGGGACCCAATTTCCCGTGAGATGTTCTTACACATAAGTTGCACCACTGTTTTGAATTAAACATTAATTTTTTCCATAAAAGGTGCAGCTCATACAGTAATACAGACTGTCATACAGACAGTAATACAGACAGTAATACAGACTGACATCTTTCCCGATGAGTGGAAATCTACCAGAGTCACCCCATTGTACAAAAATTCCGGGAAACGCTCTGATCCAGTGAATTATCGACCAATATCAGTAATTCCAGTTGTGTTCAAAGTCTTTGAGCGGATAATCTACAATCAGCTTTATCATTATTTAACTAAAAACAACTTTCTCTGGTGCCATCAATCTGGTTTTCGGTCTTTGCATTGCACGCTCAAAGCACTTATCGAAACTACAGATAGCTGGGCAGTGGATATAGACCGTGGTCTTGTTAATACCGTAGTCTTTTTAGACCTCAAAAAGGCACTTGATACAGTAGATCACGATATTTTAATATGAAAACTGCAATACTATGGAATTTGTCGGACCAGCCATCAATGGTTTGCTTCTTATTTAGATAACCGAACACATTTGTCATTGAAACTCTTGTAAGTCAACTCCGAAATGTCTGAGATGTGGTGTTCCCCA